GTCCGATTTGAAAGATTTTTTTACCATTTTATAGCTATTATTTTACTCTCTAACACTGTATTAATAACTCAAAATCGATTTTTGCGACGAGTGACTGGTTTGGCTTGTCTTTGCCACATATTATATGTATATATACACAATATACTATGTTAAAACTACTAAATAAATTTAGTATTACACTGGTGATACTATACCTTCAATAAAAGTTGGAAAATGCATTTCTGCCTGTTGACTCTTAGATACGAGTTTCATTAAATCTACATCAAATGGTACAAAGTGTATAGGTCCATCATCTAAGTTTGAACTATTCTTTGTGTGATGGCCAGATTTAACAGAGGTAGGCTGATTAAAGGTGTCATCTTCACTTATTGTTGAACACTTAGCTTTTAGCGATTCATATGATAAGAACGTTGAAATTATGTCTGAATCCCTCGGGAAAATCTACAAATAATATTCATAAAGAAATAATTCAATATTAACAAACTTCAGCTCATACAGACTTAATATAAAATAATAGGATTTTATGTCTAAAAATGGTTATAGATATGGATATTTAAAATGTGTTAAATTAGATAGATATCAGCAGGGTAAAAACCTCATTCACCAGTACCATAATACCAACATGAAACACTGCGAAGGCAGTAAGTAGTATAAAGCGTAATGTCTTATTAAACCAACGCAACTTCGTAATAAAAAAAAACAAAAACCAACAAATAGGCATTATGGGATTCAAACCTAAGGGTCGCAAGTGTGGAAGTTTCTGATGAAATCTGTGTACTTTAGGCTGTTATATAAATAAAGTAGTTTCGATTGTGATATTGGCCCTTCAAAATTTAATCATCTTTAGATTGTTGGTCATGGAACATTGAGACCAAGTTTGATGAATTTGTAATAAAAACTGTGGCTGTAGGCTGTGATATTAAAAAAAATAGTTTTTCGTTGATTGTGACCTTGACCTGTGACCCTGACCCTTCAAAATTTAATATCCTCCAGTTTCTGATAAAGATAGCTGGCTGTAGACTCTTATATATAAAAAGAATTTTTTTGTCAATTGTGACCTTGACCTTTGACCATAACTTTAAAAAATTACTCACCACGAGATCTTTGGTCATGGATCATTATGAACTAGTTTGAGGAGATTCTGATAAAAACTGTGGCCTGTAGGCTGTTCACAGTCAGACAAACAGACAAACAAAAAGGGGCGAAAAAATAACCTCCTTGGCGGAGGTAATAAAAGGACATAACGAACATTTCTAGAAAAAAAATACTGAAAGAACAAGACAATGATAATGATTCTCATGTAATGTCAACATTTGAACATTTTTTTTTCTCAGTTTTGCTATCAGGTTAGAGCCATATATTGGGATGCTTTCCTAAACTTCATTCAATAGTACTCATGAACGTCAATTTACATGTATGTCAATAAAACTTAGAATCTGTGATGGAGAAGAGATAAGTTTTTAACTCTTTTTAACATACTGACAGAAGATGAGGTTTTGATCTCAAGAGGAAGAGAATTGCATAATGTAGGAGTGGTACATGAGAATGTATGTTTACCAAGGTTTTTATGTCTCCACCTGCCTTGCTCAAAAAGGTGCTTGTTAGATAATCTAAGAATCTAAGAGTAGATTTATGTTGGAGGAGAGATATGTATTTGGGGGCAAGACTAATGAGTTCCTTATATGTTATAAAGCAATATCTGATTTTAAGCCAGTGAGTTTTTAAGAACAGGGCTTATACGTTCTTGCTTCTTGGTGAATGTAACAATTCTTGCATCTGTGTACTGGACAAGCTGAAGGTGATGAAGATGTTTATGTGGCAAACCATTGAGAGGTGCATTACAATAATCAAGACGTGAGGACAAACAAAATGTTTGGACATTGCAGTAAGATAGAATGGTCAACAGTCTCGAAGGCAGCAGGTAATTCCAGCAAGAAGTACAGCATTACCGGAATCCAGAGACAAAGGATATCATCATTAATTTTTAGTAGGGCTGTTTCAGTGCTATTTCCAATAACCAGATTGAAATGGCTCGAGTAATAAGTTACTTGTTGAGTAATCTTCAATAATAATAATAATAATAATAGTGTAGTTTTATATAGCGCACATATCCATCTAATGTAAGATACTCAGGGTGCTTGATATGTGGACTAGGAACTCGATCAATGACTTTCTTCGCCCCTAAGGGTCCCTTCATGTCTGTGCTACCCGGTAACCCGGTACACGCAACTCTCGTCATCCACCACAGGGGCTCTCTGTTCCAGTACACCGGGGTATCCCCCTACTCGTCTCGAAGGATGTATTGGGTTCTTTATAGTGCACACGAGCCACTGTATACACTGGGCCTACGGTTTATAGTCCTTATCCGCGAAGGCTTGTTCTACCACCAGAACCATAGGCGAGTGTGCCGTTCGAACCAGCGCCGATATTATGGCTATAGCTTGCAGCGCCCCTGCTAACCGCTCGGCCATTCGACTTCAAGTTGTAAAGCAACAACTTTTTCAATAACTTAGGAGATGAAAGGGAAATTGGATATTGGTCTAAAGTTGGACAGGCAATTGACGTCAACTGATTGATTCTTGAGGAGGTCTAACTGCTGCAGTTTTCAGAGAGTCGCAAAATGTCCCATGTTTAAGGGAAGCATTTATAATGTTACAAATCAAAAGTAACTCAGCAAGAAATTTCTTGACAAGAGTGGTGGGGATGAAGGTTTTGTTATTGAAATACATATTAAAAATTTCAGGACAACTTTGTGTGAACACAGACAACGATGAACTTGTGTAAAGCAAAAATGGTCAAGCGCCACACTCTGTCCAGAGAATCGCACTTGACATCGTATTACATTTGAACATCTCAATATGTATGGAAATGCATCAAGTCTTTCCTCTTGACATGTTCTCAAAAGGTCTAAGGCACCATTAGTCAATCATTCCTATTTCCTTTGGTATAGCTCAAAGAAGTGTACCTGGACATACATTTTATTTATTTATTATTGAACCTTCCTCATTCCTTGTTCCTCAGTGTCTTAATTGTTTGCCAAAAAATTAGTTTTTTCAGTTGATGACGAATTTAAATTTCAGTTCGATTGAAACCAACTATATTTTTTGTGTGATTAAATTATTGTTGTACAGTATATTAACCTAAGCAAGAGCACAATTCTACACACTATACAATCAGTTTATATACATCTACATGTACCTGGTTCACCAATACAATAAAATCTGTCTTAAATAATTGACATCTGGGGTCCACTTTCAGCACTGAATTAGGTTTAGAGTGGACCAGAGTTAGTATTTGGCCTTGCCCATGCCATGTACACTCTTAAAAGAATATACATTGAGAACTTACAGCATTTGGTACTTGATCATAGGCTAGACCCTGAAGATACTTATGATGCTCAGTGGCTTGGACAATTCCACTCTGAGGCTCTATCCAGCATTCTGTGACCAGGTGAAGTATACTGTCTTCCTCAGCAGGCTGTATATCAAGCTCTGCATTCTCATCAACACCAGGACTGAAATTATCCAACAAAATCAAGGCATCATTTTTATGAGCTAATTATTAGATTTATTCCTCTGGAAATGTGTAGAATATGCTATGTATGTATGTGAAGAATATACTTACAAAAATGACCTGTCTCTTGAAGCATGATGAACAGGGAAAATGACATACTGCAGAAGACATGGAAAGTTGTCTAGCTTTTCAGCTTCCAACTCATCATCATTCTCATGGTCATTTCTGCTGTCCCCTGGATCCTTCTCAGAGTTAGAACACTTAGATGAGAGTGGAGCTAAAACAGAGTCTTTGTGTGTTGAGTCAGAGTTTCTCCTAGAGCCCAATGTACCTTTGGTTTTCAATTTAGTGTCTTCATGCAATGTGTCGTCTAAGAGCTCAGGTGTTTTCTCTTCAATTAGATGTGCACATTCCTGACTTGAGGGTCCATGAGATTTGCCATGGTCAGATTGTTTACTCTGTTTCAGAGTATTATTGTCAAGTTTCTCATGTTGGACTAGCTTTTCTGTCAATGTGACAGTTTTTGACTTGACAATATCAAGCTCATCATCACATAGAACAGCAGCAGAAGACTCCTGTCAGGATAATAATTATAGATTTTATCAGTTAAATATTAAATTAATGGTTTTGGTCCTAATTATTTCAGTGACCTCTTAGTGGTTAAAAAACACTCATGCAAACTTCACTCCTGTGAGAAGTCACTCATTTTCGAACAGCGTTCTTTTAATTCATGTGGTTTAATCATTTTCTGTAGCTGCTCTTAAAACAGGCTACTAATTTCCCTTTGCTCCATTAAAAGTACATCAGCCTTCAACAACACCCATTCGATGGCGCTGAAATCTGAAGTTTTCTAGTTTTGGTTCTTCGGGGTTTTTTGGTAAATTAGGCTGTTACTTTAAGCTCCTGTGAGTCATGAACCGGCGAGCCTTCACTGGAGCTTTATTGCGTAGGTAAACGGAGTGGTAATGCTGGTTCTTCTGCTTCTGGTTAGTTTGTAGGATATTTTATACTGGCTTGGTTTTCCAAATTTTTCTTTTACAGCTGTTTAATTTTATTTCAAGTGCCTTGAACATTTCTTTGAAATGGATATGAGCACAATACAAATCTTATTTATTATTATCATTATTACTATTATTAAAATAATACTGATGCATAACAGCAGACTAATATTTGCATTGACAGATCATGATACTGTAACAACAATTGATCTAACCTTCATTTGAAATTCAATGATCAAGCTGATGATACCAGAATTAGAATATGCAAAATGAAAGCCCTCCTTCAGTCGGATACTGAAAAAAATATAATTAACATTAGATTCATGATGATAAATTCATTGTAACAATTAGTGGTTGCACCAAAGCTTACATAAGTTGTAGTGGCATTTTAATTTTAAATTTTCATCAGACAGCATGATGCAAATAATATGCCGCCATAAATATGATACTGTACAGCAAGGGTGGGCATAAACGTCAGTTGGAAGGTCAAAGTGAATTTTTGATTGATCACCAAAGGCCGTACCCAAACTTTGATGTTTACATGCAGTGTGCTTCCAAAAACCTTCATGCACTGCTTTTATGCCACTTTATTCTCAGTTTTAATATTAATTTGTACAGATGAACGGGTGTCGGGGCCGTAAAAAACAAGGTGTATTCTAGTCAAAAATGTTTGGCGGACATAGGGTTTTTAATTCAATTTCGTGAGCCATCAAAAAAATCTGTCGGGCCGCACTTTGCCCACCTATGCTGTACAAGCTCTATTTCCAAGGCTTCATAGGATGAAAACATACTCCCTTAAAATTGACAGCACGGTAGACATAGCCTGCTCGGAGACCTGCGGAGTGTCTTCATCCCTCTGCACAGCCCATACCCAGCGTCGATGGTGGAAGTAACATGCTAGGCGGTTCAAGCTCTTTGGAGGCTGTTGCTGTTGGTGGTGGTGGTGGTGGTGATGATGATGTTGGTGATGGTACGGACGACTGGAAGATATCACCGGAAGACTACTGGACGTGACAGACATTGAGGCTTCCATATTAAAGAAATCATGCGGTATCCACTCGTATCTATAATTCAGATAATAATTATAGGTAACAGGTTGTATTATAGGTAATAAACATAAATAAAATCGCATGTGTATGTACATATTTTATGTGCATACTGTAGACAAAGAAAAAATGATGTGCACATGAGGAACAAATTATATTTTGAATGGAAAGTGCATTAATACGTAACAGCAGTTATAGCACTAGTTGGCAAAAACGGTCTACATTCTTCAGAAGAATAAAATTCATTATTAAAACGAGAACTATAACAACTACTTGATAAATGTGTTCAAATCGGCAATTTTTAAAATATACTTCAAGAAAAATATTAAAAAGCAATACAAAAAACATCAATTAAGATTTTTAAACAAATCAGACTTTAAAGCTAGAATACCAGCACTCTCATACCCCATAAGCCCCTATGTTAATACACCTAGATAGGCCACTGCTTCTAACCCCTTGGAGACAAACTGCAATACGATATTAGAAATGCATGTATGATAAGCTATAGATATAAACCATTTTCATATACAAAAACTGGTAATTTGATTGACTTGATCTCTTAAAAAATTATCATTATCATAAATTTCAATATATACATTTTATGCTAGCATATGACTTTATCCTGTATTCATTTAACAAGAATGGTGATAAAGCAAAGTATTAAACATGTTAAAATTTATTTAAAAAAAAAAATATATGTAATATTATTGGTAATACATGAGGGGATACTTGCAGGAAGACCTTATATAATAACAGTAATTTGCATTTCATTGGACATACTATTTCACAAATTATAATACACTGATTGTATGCAATATCCAAGCCACCGTTATATCAGTATTGGTTTGACTGAATTAGAAAAAATTTGTGATGGAATGCATGCTTTCAGTGATGTCAACCAAGGGCTACTTAAACATACCCTAAATTTCTTTTTAAAAAAAGCATTATTGTTTACAATCCCTAACAAATTTTGTCCACAAATGTCAATATACTTTTTAGTTTGCCTCTTGGATGTGCCTTTTACACTTATTATAAATTTTGTCTATTTCTTTAGCATCAGTAATAAAAGTTGATTTTTCCTTGTTTCTCTGATCTTCAGCTCATTCTTGAGGAAAAATGCAACCATTGGATAATAGTCACTATTACCTTATGAGTATGATTTCTGTTGGTTTGGATATTAGAACTACACATGGATTTCCAAACTGCTTCTGTTGCTCCTTAGCTGCTGCACTGCCAGACACTCTCCTGCTTCTAGCAGAGTTGGAACTCACACTAGACATCAGAGCTGATGAAATACTCTGAGAGTGTGATGCTCTTTGAGGTGACTCCAACTTCACTAGTTTGCTCTTAAGATTTTTCATAATCTTTTAAGAGAAAACAATAATATATACATAGCATATATTAATATCTGGTTTAGAATAATTTTTTGACTACTGTATGTACACTACTATCATCATCAACATCATCACCACACCAACACCATCCCACACATATAAGCATTGTTATAATAATCAAACCAAATTCACCTGATTTCTAACATGGCCAGATGTTCCACCAAGAAAAGCTAGTCGTAGCACCATACAAGGGGGCTTGGAGAGGACACGGATGATGTAGAACGAATATGGTGGGCTCTTCTCATCATCACTGGGAGAACAATAATTTGATATCAAAGATCAACACACCATATATTAATTGAAACAGAAAGATATGCCATTTACATACGTACATTTATATACATTTACATACATACATTTATTTAGACATGCATACCATATTTATTGGGGGCATTTATTGTTAAAAAACAATTTTTTGGGCACATTTATTCGAGGGAGCCATTTATTATTAGGAAAGGCGTTTATTTTTTTGTGTGTCTGAAATGGATACGTATATACTCAAATAAATGCCTTTTAATTTCACTGTAAATGTGGAACTACAACACATAATTACTGTCAAAATGTGTTACTGCGTGATCAAAAGGACTTATTCATCCCAACCTTGTTGGAAAAATAGGGCATGTTTCTGCTGAATAACGCCAAAAACATGTCTTTAAAAACGGTTAAATTCCTTTGAAACAGGTTTCTAGTGAAAAGTGCAACTAATAAAAACATGGTAACGCAAACATTGATAGAAGTTGAAGTTGACCTTACTTCCTGTAAGCTACAGCACACGCGAAAAGAAGTAAACAACACACCACGAAAGTAGAAAAAATAATGTTAAATCTAAAGCATATCATCCTGTTGGTTTAATTTTTTTATTCGCCCAGAATTTCCTGTGGACGAACAATCAAACCAACGAAGAGGTCAATTTAGGTCACCGACGGGTCATGACTAACACGGTATTGTGTTGCAGCTGAAAAGTGTACCACAAAACATGTGTTTTCTGAACGCCAATCCTATAATGAGTGCGCGTTAAAACATGCTTTTTTGGAACGCATTCCTAACCGTGTTTTTGTTTTTTGGCCCATTACTGCTGGGAAAAAAACATGTGTTTTTTAATAAACGTTTAAAACCGTTTTTTGCCCAGCAAAAACAGGCCCATACTCACTCTTTGTACATGAGCTTAATATAGCTATGATTTTCCAGCAGCACAAATGTACTCCAGGTTCGAAGCAGTTGGTTGACAGTACTCTGAGCTAGCCTACTCTGAACATTGTTAAATTTTCCATTGTGGTTACCATAGTGCAGATGTTTTGGCAATGGTCTGAAAAAATGAGTACAAAATAATAGCATAAATTTATGAATTTATATATAGAATGAGAAGATCCAAAAATGGAACTATTCTTCAGCCAGTTCCACGTGTCACAGAAAAAAACTCTCGGATGCATTCTTGGCGAAGGTCCAAGGTACAGCTTACCGCCAGAGTCTGTTAAATGCGTTCCAATTAATTTTAAGAGCAATACAGCATTCTGAATCTTCAGTAGCACTTGTCTGACATATTTAACTGAAGACACAGCAATTGCAATTACAATTATATCTCTAAGGCTTTGTCGTCTTCTTCAAGTTATAGGGCTAACTTCAAACTGAAGGCTTTTGCCCTGTTGCCCATTTCTGTTACATGTGCTTATAAAACCAAGTGTGCAAACTTTTTGTTTACTTTATTATTCTTATTTAAATTTTCTTTTTATAAATAATTTTCACTTCATTCATTTTCAGCCGTTATCAACCCACTGCTAATAAAAAATGTTTCTATGTTTCTTGGAATTGAGAAACATTGAGCTAGCCTAGAAATTTGCAATTTGTCAATCGTAGACTCTCGTGCATACCGAAACAGGCAGTAGATATGCAAGGGCCTAGGCCTAACATTTCCTGTAAAATCTCAATATTTGGGCCAGCAAACCATTATGGCCATATCTTCAATTTCCAATGAAACTGGCATCAAACCAACATTGTTTAACATCATCTACGGTATGTGCCTTACAGCAGAAACACTCACAAGAAACCATGCATTTTGCTCTTACCAAGCGTCACTGGGGCTGTCTATTTACAAGTTATACCCACTATAGTTTACGTGATCGCAGTCACCAACTGTGTCTATTGTAAATTAATTGTGCTGAGCACAACGGACCATTCCAATAAGCACTGCCAGGTCCCAAAAAATGACACAATAAAGACACGAGGACAAGATAAAAATGCATTCAGTGTTGAAGAATATAAACGAAGCGATGATATGTTGTTGTTATGTCATTTTCGTGTCTAGTGTAAATGTTGCTTAATGAAATGCGCATTTGGTGGGACCACACATATTTATGGAAGAAGCGTGTAGTCCTTTCCCTCTTCTGATTGATAAGTTAAATTTTAAATGACATGCAAAGGTCAATTTAATAATCAACTATCAATTTGTTAACCACTGTACTTACATGTCGTGGGTCAGAACCATGCCAATACGATGTGTGTGAAACCATCTTTGCCTGCAAGTAGATATATCATTCTACATTATAATACTTAAGCCATATTAATTACAGTAATTGTTTGTCTTTTCTCTTTCATTTTGTAATTTAGTGATTTATCTATTTTTCCAGATTGACTTATATTCTCAAATTTGTCAAATTGATATTGAGAGTGTTGATGATTCTTTCCAAATTATTAAAGTATAAACAATACAGTATACTTATACAATGTGTTTAAAATTTGAATTTGTAGTTGTTTTTACAATAATATAACCTGCTTCTAAGTTATATAAAGTGGTAAAAAAATATATACAAATAAAGTATAAAATTTATTGTAAGAATAAAATATCGGCAATTAATTGATTTTACTGTTCATTTTTTAGAAGCATGAACTAACATATTCAAAAAATTGGAAAAGCCAACTTTTTGCATGTTAATTCCAGGTAAAGTTAATATTCCAAAAGAAACCTTTAAAATAAGAAAACTGGACTGCATATCACCGAATACTTATATTTGAATATAATTTCTTCTTTGAAAAATTTAGGAAGGGAGGGGTGCGGAAGAGTGGTGCTGAAGTAATTGTACGTGCAGGTTTATTTACGCATGGCGCTTTTGTGCGTAGGGGTTAGAAAAAATCCCCTGGATATGCCACTGACGAATCTGGCGTTATTTTAGTGTAGCTCACTATATCTATCTAGTGGTGTAGAGTATCCCACTTATTATTATTATTAACATGGGGAGGGGAGAGACTGAGGGAAAAGGATTAAGTGGGGGAATTGACAAAATGCCTAACCATTGGCGGCGCCAAAGGCAGATCCAAGGAGCATGCTCGGGGACAAACTCTGTTGAAAACACCGCTTTGAAAAAATATTTTTCCTGTCTCAAAGTGGCATTTAGACTGGGATTCTAGGTATCTGTTTTTTAAATTTTATCACTATGGGCCCTTTTCGGGGTGTTGGACTCCTAGTTGGCATATTTCTGTCACTGACATATTGTTCTTAACTACTTACAATAGTACATGATTGGATTTGTTTGAGATCAGAAAATTTCCAGTGGTAGAGTTGCTTTATATCCCCCACCCTTCCCCATGCTACTGCATTCCTCCTTTTAACAAACGAAGGCCTATCATATTAATGTTGAAAAAACCAAGGTTAATTAATTCAAAATAATAATTAAAACAGATTGGAACTGGTCACCAGCTAAAAAAGGTTGAATATCAGGTTGTAGGCTTTGAAAAAAAACGTGCATAAATTTACTATTGCGCATGGGAGCTTTGAGACAAACAATTAAATTAATATGGCCTTGCATCATAAATTCATTATCATTGTGTGCCATAGTATCAGTATTCTGTCTACAAAATTAATACGGACTGAGAGCATATATTATGCCTTTATATATTAAAGCATTATACAAAGTAATCTTGGTTGTAATTCAGGCAATTCGCTTCTTTCCCTTCCCCAATATAAAAGATTGTACAAAAAAACATGTGGATATTAAAGACATTCCAATGTTAAAGACAGTGCAAGGTTAGAAGTCATGATTGTTTCTTGGAATTTCCACATGTTAGTCATTGAAATATTATGACAGGAAACTGCTTATAAAGACAAAGTGAACTAAAAAAAGAAATTCAATGCATCTTGCTTCTTTTCAATACAGAAAATATATTCTTTTTGGAATTAACAAATACAAGCACACAAGGATGCCAAAATATTTGGTAAATATATTAATTGATTTTTTTTTTTTTAAATATAGTACAATACTTCAATCTGGTGCAGTAGAATGATAGATAATAAATAAGGTAACGTTCCTTTTAAACACATTTAAAGTAGTTTATGAGACATTACATAGAAAACAAGAACATAATATTGGAAAACAGAGAAAAACAGACATTGTGAAACCTAAAAGCATATTGATTGGATTACTACATGTATAGTTAATTACAGAGATATTGTGATATGCATGGTTCTTATAATAATTTTTTTTATTTGTATATTTTATTACCATTTTATGTAACTTAAAAGCAAGGTGTATTATTGTAAAAACAACTACAAATTCAAATTTTAAACACATTGTATAAGTATAGTATATTGTTTATATATTAATAATCTGTAAAGAATTATCAACACACACAATATCAATTTGATAAATAAATTTGAGAATACAAATAAATCTGAAAAAATAGATAAATGACAAAATTACAAAATTATTCATTTAGGGTGTGATGAAGATGTTTATCCAGATGCCACAAACATTTTTGACAGCCATCCGACTGTGTTCATCATCATCACAACCTTTAAATTTCCTTGAATTGATAGTGAATTTTGACAAAAAGGTAAGATTTTGAATAACATAAAAGTGTTACAAAAACAAGTGTTAAAACAACAGTATTTAGAACGAAGTTTCTACAAACTAGGGTGCAGCCAAATTTGGGTCAAAACTTAATTTGGGAGGGCCAATACTAATCAAAAAATTAAAAGATATAAAAATATGGTATTCATACTTCATATACTAAATTTCTATTTTATATAATATAAATATATGAATAATAGAAAATGTAATGATGCCAAACTTGGCCATGTGGTGAAAATCCTAGGCCTAGGTTGGCTGGGCTAGGTTGACTTGAGCTATAAACAGCCAGAAGCCCGAGGTGTTGTATGAGAAATTTTGGCTATGGTTTGAGGCATGGAATGCTGGCTGGAAGGTGAAAAGATTGCTTTGTTGATTTTTCAAACACAAAGAAATATGCAAGACATTTAAAGTTACTCTTGCTAATCTTTTCCTGATTGATAAGACTTCTTACTATATCTTTAATCAGGGAGATGTTAATTAGACAACTAATTAACATTGCTCCCTGCTCTATTCAATATTAGAAAAAGACACCTTTTTTTGGAATTTATCACTGCGGCAAATGTAAGAAGGGTTGGTGTAGTGCCTTCAGCTACAAAGGTGTATGGCAGCAATGCAAACGATGCCAATCTCTATGTTACCCATTTAAGAAGGTGAGAATATCAAATGTTTGTATGAACTTAGTTTCTTTAAAGTTTAAGTAGGCTTCTATTATTTACAAAATAATCCAACTACAGTTCACCCTCCAATTCGAGACCCCTCTAATTCGAGACCACTTTTCCAAAGACACAAATAACAATCTTCAGCCTTTTAACACAAAGCTAGCCCTCTAATTGGAGACCAACTCTGACACCACCCCAAATTTTCAGGTCTCAAAGGTGGTCTCGAGGGCGAACTGTACACGTAATACAAGATGAGTAGACAATTATAACATTTAAAAATACAATGCATTTATTTCATTAACTAGAAAGATGGAAATGTTAGGAGAAAACATCCAAGAAATTCAGCTAATTCTCATAGGCAGGATCTTTGTGGAATGTGTCACAAACTAGGCTACAACTGCAAGTAAGTCATAGAATGGTCCTAAACAGTATAAGACAACAACTGGTGTGTATATGTATTCTCCTATATTAATAAAAATATATAAAATAAAATAGTTCGATAACCAAAGATAAATTGATAGGATGCATACCACTTCTTGGGATCCATCAAGGAAATTCGCTTCCAGAAGTCAGCAAACTGCCTGGATCTTGAATCTCTGATGGTTAGAAAATAATGTGATAAAGATCATGACACTATAAAATGATAATCAATATTTTAATTACGCTTTTTAAAGCCTACGGACAAAAGGCAATACCAATGCACTCAATAAACGCCTGAGATTTGAAACCTACCGGTCTCAAAAAGATTAACAAAGTATTTATCAAATTTTTTCAGATATAACTGAATATCATCCATTTTAGATTAACTGTTGAAAAAATAATGACTTTTACTGTCCCTTTTCAACAGAGCAGTAACTATTTTGCTAGAGTTTTAGTGGTAGCCGTTTTGCTACTGTAGATGCATTTGTTAACTTCCACATTTGTTAGCCGTGTCTCTGTCAGTTGTCTTGCAGTTAGACCATTTAGACACAACAAACAGTGGTCATAAATAACTGATTTCTATATCGGAAGAATCCCAATGTTAACATACTAGAGGGTAAGCAACAACTTAATAAATATCAATCCATATTTTTGGTTGGCAGAAAAATAAGGACTTTTACTGTCGCTTTTATTAGTAGCTGTTTAGTAGGCTGAATGTGTTTACTTCCGAATTGCTAGCCTCGTCTCTGTCAGGATATTTCAAGTATTAGACCATTTAGACACTAAAGAAGATAACACTAATGATGAATAATTATTCTATTTTTATTGGAACAAATCATGCTAGAGTGTAAGCAAGTGAAAGAGTGCATGCTCAGCTGTAATTATAAGAATGTTGATAAAGGTGATAAAACTAAACTACAGTAAGAACTTAATGTTTTCTGTATTATTATTATTATCAAAAAATTAATAAACATAATGTAAGAAACTTTACTCTATCAATTCTATCAATGTCTAATACATTACCTTAAGAATAATGTTACCAAATGATCGAACCACTAATGAAATTCAAAAATATGACGATACTTTTGAGAACGATCATTTCAGGCAATGCCTGAAAAATTTAATAAGGCCTAGCCATTGCTAGGCCTTACGCTACATACATGTTTCGACAGATCCTACTGTCATCATCAGTGTACAGAGATTCCATATAGGCAATCTTATTTAAATGAAGTGAAGTTTGTAATACGTCAATCTATACGTAATTCAACCGTATCAAGTTGTAAAAACCAAGATCATGATTAAAAACAATGTATAATTAACGGTAAACGGAATGAAGTAAAATCAGAATGACAAAGTTAAATTATCATGGTAAAGTTGATTGTTGAGTGAGGGCTGCTCCCATTGAATATGTAATGCCTCCTTTATTTTGAGATGATGAATTGATGGGGCGGAGTCAAGAATACGGAAACAGTCCTTGCTACAAGTTTGCATGGATTTGCGTGAATTCTTAAGGTGTTTTAACATGTGAGAGTTCCTATCCATTGCCAAGTGCTATTAAGAATATCTTAAGAATAAAAAATACATAAATATCACACATTATAACACACACAACATATGCGAAAAAATATTATGTAATATTTATTTCTATTTCCAAATCCGCATTTATATACCGCCACTTAGAGGATGGACATAATAAAACTTCAGTCTTAAACTACACAAAAAATAAACTGAATAAAAGAGCTAAACAAAACCTCTTCCCTAAATTTATTCAGATCAAGAAACACAATCTCAGACACAACTACATAAATGGAGATTTATAAAGCTGAAACTATATCAAAATAGCTACTTTTAGAAACAAAGAGGTTGCAAGAGAATGCCAATTTAGAAATTAAACTCTGTAACAAATGCTAGCACAAAAATTTAGTTCAATAATATGAATTAAAAAAATAAATCTTTAAATAAAAGCATCAGACCAAAAAATGTTTACAATAAAACTGAAATATTGACCATGAAATCAAATGTTGAAGGATTACACTTACTTATGTAATCTGAAATGCTACTAGGCCTATAGTTTCAAGTTTGAATGTACTATATCAATACATGTAATTTCCATCAACAATAATCTAAAAGTTTTAAATTGATTTCTGGTTGACTACTTACTTTGAATGGCCAAGATCCTGTGACAAGACAGGCGTTTCTGAACCAGGTGGCATATACAACAATGGCATACCTTCCTTTGTTCTTTCAGGGACAGTATAGAAGATGGCATTGCTAGCAAATGATTGCAGGTGTTCTAGTAGTTGATCAGTCTCATTCACACTAGAAAAGAAGTGCAGCGGGTCTCATTCAATTGTTATCATTCACACAGTACATATCTTTATCCAAAATAGTATGAGTGGCAGTGGCAAATTTTTTAGCTCCCATATTTTTAGCTCATTTACTCAAAACTGGCCTCTGCGACAACTTAACCATTTCGCCACGACATGCATCCTATAGATTTTATTCACAGTACTGTATAAATATGACATATTCACACTATACTCCATTTTTATGAGTAAAAAATTTACCAACCTGCGAAGAGCCTCCCAAAACTTCTTGATAACAAGCATTCGGTAGTTTGGTTTTCTGGGTCTCATTTGACATGTCAAGTCATGCAAAAATTCATAGCTACCTTCAATCATTATCTCAACCTGGGTCAAAGGGCGTGTGGAATCCAGAGGCCAGGTTGCTTTAGCTGTGTATTCTATCCTATCATTGTGCCTCCATGGCAATGCAAGTCTCACTTCAATCTGCTTCTCATCTAAGAGTAAGTGATTTAAATTTATCAAAGTGTGTATCAGGGTTTTCTGTCTCACAATCGCTATCATAACAGTGTTTATGAGGACATGATTCAGGGAACAATCTTAGTTAAAGAATGAATAGGACATTAAAACTTTTATTTATCTTCTCCTGGTTTTTTTCATAGGAAACAGAATAAATATAATTATACCTGTCTCTTATACACATCTAGATGTGTATAAGAGACAGGACCTAGGGACACTGATTAATATACTGCTAATTTTCTGCTCCTAGTCCGATAAACAAAACATAAATAAATTCATATTCTCTGTGTTTTATTTCCGACTACGACCACGACCACCACGAGGACGATGATGAGTATGACGATGATAGGCCTATGGTGATGTTGACCAATGACAATGATAAGGTGTTAATGATACAGTAATGATAATAACAAATGATAATGAAAATAATAAAATATACCGTACCGGTAATAGGTGTAATATTAACAATATTAATAATAATATAAATAGTTTCTCCTGAAGACGATTGAAGCAACTAAATCGAAACGTCGAAACATTCTCAACCAACAGCAGTCCTTTTCAGAACTATCTACATGGTGTACCGCAAGCATAAATATATATTATTACTTCGCATTGCAAACCTTCACAAATATCAATAGTAATAGTGATGTTATAGTAATTAATATTAATAATTTCACAAAAATTATATAAATCAAATCAGATGTTACCAAAAAATACAAGTTAATTTTCAAAGTGAAAATGATAATTAAGCAATAAGGCAGGAATAGAATACTCCTAATCTACAACAAAGCATTTTGCATACAAGCCACTGCATTAAAATAACAAATATTAACTGTAATCTGATACAACGTTATTCATTAAATATTTTCATTTCAAAAATATAAAAAAATGTACAGTATATTACTATTATTATTATTATTATTTTTTTTTTTTGGATCAGTCACCTCAAACAAGGCTAGGGCCACTCAAGGTAAAGGATTAGGATAGTTAAAAATAAAACAGTTGACACAAAATATAAAATTTGGAAGATGAAAGAAAATTGGAAAACAAACAGCTATCAACGTATTCCAAAGAGAAGCCGAAACGACAAACAAATGGATTTGAATAAGTAGAAGTTCTGCATTTGGGAAGTTCAAGAGTGAACGGTTGAGAAATCAAAATTCAACAAGGCTTACTAAGTAATATTAGTGGATAAGTTCATTCTATTTTCGATGCAACAAAGATATGTGTAGGGCAGGGGTGGGCATAAAAATCGGTTGGATGTCCAAAGTGAATTTTTGATTTAACACAGATGGCCGCACCAAAACTTTGATGTTTCCAGTTTGGTTACAAAAAACTCCATCCAAGCGTTGCTTTTACACCACTTTATGTGCAGTTTGTGTTGCAATGCCAACAAGTCAATGTTGCTTGGCAGGCCGCACACATAGTGTTTTTAATTCATTTCCGTGGGCCGCAAAAAAAACTGCTGTCGGGCCGCACTTTGCCCACCTGTTTAACATGAAAAAAAAAATTTCTGATATTGAAGATCCTTTTTTTTAAACTGCGTATAGCTGACATAATTTTGTTTAAAAAGATTGTTTTCCACTAACATCATCCTTGCACTACAGTACCTAGGCCTATGAAGTAGTAAGTGAAAATATTAGACTTGCTTGCATTGCATAAGCTACTGTGCTGCGATGCATTTGTCAAAGAACTATCAAGAAGGAGGGCCATTTGCAAATGAAGACATTATTACCATGTCATCAGCATAACTTAGACAATATCTCTTGGAATTATTAATTTTACAGCTATATATGGAATTTTGTTTTATTGCTTATTTAAATCACCAATGTAAATATATAAAAAAGGTGAAATAAACCCCACCTTGTCTAATCCCATTATTAACAGTAAAAAATCAGAAACACAACTGTCCATCTAAGTAACAACAAACTGATACCAATACTTTAGTGTTTTGACTATTGGTAGAGGTAAACCCCGCAAGTTTATTAGCTTTTTTTAAAGGGTCCAGTGGTCAACTCTGTTGTTAGTGGTTAACTCTGTAATAGCTTAGGATGTACATCAAGAAAGAAACAATATATTGGAATGACATTACAAAAATAATGGTCAACATTTTGCTTTATCAAATCAAATTGCTTATCGTCAGTGTTAAAAATACAGCCTGCAAAAAATAATTGAACTCATTTATTAACTTTGAAGTGATACTAGCTAAAGCAAATGTTTATCAGTGATATCACCAACTTTTGATTTGACTTTTGAGAATCTATCAGATACAAACCATGATTAAACATTGCTTTGAAGCATGACATAACAACTTACTTGAAGCACACTTTGCATTGAGCAGAGTCGAAATTGGTGTACGGTATATTAAGTTGTCTAAAATGCAATGAAGTTAGCATAGAAGATGCTTTTTATAGCAATGTATGCAGTTTGAATGATTAAGGTTGATTTTATTTATATTTCCATTCAGACCAAAAATATGAAGAGTTTTGAAAGGCCTTTTAGGGGGCTTGGGCTTTGTCACTGTTGATTTCTGAGCATGTAGGTATCATAGTAATACCTCCACGTCTAGAGCTTAAATACTGTCACCAAGTCATTTTGCTGCAATTTCTGAATGAAATATTTAAACTATTGGACAAACCTAATTGCTTTATCTTATCTCTTATCTACAGGCTAGGCCCGTGTTCATGCAACAAGTCTTTGCTCACAAAAATGTTTAAGCTGTCCATCTGTTTCTTTCACTCCATTTCAAATCTAACAGGTCAAACTTACTGGAGTTTATTTAGGAGCATTTACCAAGGCTTTTCGATATTAATTTACATTAAAATGTACAAATAAACAAGTTTGATGAGTTTAAAAACAGTCAAAATTTAGTTTAGTGGAGGCTTATTATTAAGTGATAAAACTGGCACCTAGAGGTGTGTTTTGATGTTATACCCACTTATACCCACTGTGACTAATTCAGTCTATTAGGACCAAGCAGAGAACAACCTATCTAAACAAGAACTGCAAGCAACAGAAACTGACAAGTCAGAACCTTAGAACCACAAAGCCATCATATCTGTTGTTCTATAACATTCTGAGTCTGGCATGAATGCAAAAGACCAAGGCATTGTTGAATGCAATGATATTAATAGACCACACCACTTAAACGTGAACCATCCAGTACCACTCCCGGTCAGTCTGATAATAGTAAAGTTTATCAAATATAAAGAAAAAGATCAAGAACTACGGTAGCAACAGTAACAAATGACAAGGCCAAACAGTCAGAAAAAAAATGACAGGCATTAGGAAATTCTAAAATCATATAGCATCCTAACCAAGGCCTCATCAACAATTATGCTAATAACAACACAGAACAAACTCTCTGCTACTTATAAGGAAATTACAATGAAAATATTTTCATTGTTCATACATGAAATATTTGGTTTTCCAAAGGAAATTTTAAAACAAAATACAAAATACCCAGAAATTTGAAAGTTGTTGTCTTTTCTATTCCAACGTTGGAAATTATGTACTACTGTACTAGAATTGCATTATGAAGCCCATATGCCATTTTAATATTACAAAATATTCCATTATTAAATAAGTTGGCGAAATATAATCATGAGAAGAGAAAAAGTTTGATTTTTAGATCAAAACTGTAATTGTGTTTTTGAAATTATATTTCATGCTAATCCCGGGCAAGCATGGACACCTTTTATACAAAAATAAATAATACTAAGAAGTAGTAAGAGTGAAATGCAAACAAGTAACTATTTTATATGATAATGATGCTACTAATACTAAAAGATTCAATAACCTGAAACAATAAACAATAATTATAACAATAAATATAATCACAATATAAATAAAATATTATTAGGTTTATAAATGCAATAACCAAATAAAGTTAATTGGTCAAAAGCAAAAAATAATGTTTTTAAGCGATAATGTCGATACTTTTCAATAACAAATATTACAGAATAAACTACAAACTTTACAGAATTAACTCTTGTAATGAAAGCAACTGCAACAAAATCACAACACAGCAAGATTGTTCTCACAAAAACTTACCACATTCAAAAGGGTGCCAAAATTTACATAAGAACAGCAAGAAAAAATAATATTCAATTGTTAACAGGCATCAATATGCAATTATTATTTATATTAAATTATGATTCAAATATTACTATGCAAACTTTGTAAACAGTAAAGCCTTTAAAATCAATAGCACATCTACCAAAAATGCCTGAAATAATTACATAATCATTTTAAGTATTTGTGGTAGACAGTTTAATTCTTGGTCTCATAAGCATCTCAGTTATACCATTTATGCAATATCCTCTTCCCTCCAATAAAGCATGTTTTATAACAAGTCTTACTTACATATACAGAATGTTAAAATGTGTGAAATCAAGTGACTGAGAGGTAAGGCCAGGGCCTACAGCTTTAAGCTTGGTACTCAATGAGTCTGACAGTCGTGAATATATACAGAATGTAATTCCCAGACATGTGCATAACAATCCATTCAGGCTGCCACCGACAATCAGCAGACAGCATCGCATCGTCTAGAGCTCACAAGGAAGCAGAGTTGGATTTGTCGTACGACGTAGCGATTGCCCGGCTTTAACATCGTTCCTCCCCCAGGGTTCAATTGGTAGAACCAAGTTTCATATTAGGGCTTAAAATGGAGGTCTACAGTAGTTTACATCTGGCTGTGCACTTCAAAGAACCCATTGCACTTTTCGTAAGAGTAGGTGGTTACCCCGATGCCATGGTTCATTTCAGCCTTTTTCATTGTGTTATGATGAAAACATGAAGCTGTTTTAAACGCCTCTTTAATATATATACGGCGGCTAGGTAGTCACGGACCAAGTCCACAGGCAATTTAGTACAATGATGCTGTGAGTTATGAGTTATTCTTCTACCTTTATATCATACCTTTACATTATCTATCCATGATTACATAAAGGACATAAATCATGTGGGTTGAAGATATATATTTATCATAAAATCTGGAAACCATTACAAATTTAATTACAATATTAAATAGCTCATTTAAAAAGATCAAATTTCCAATGAAACACAGATAAATCAATATGTTATTTTTAAAATAATTTTTTGACCTTTTTTTTTAAAACTGAAATCAACAACAAACAAGGCTCAAAAGGTAAGTGGTTACATAACTACTATATTTATAGGCCATGAAATACTTGCACCTAGTGTTTAAATCTATCTTGAGCCACTTCACAGCCTGTCAACAAAAAACTGCTTATTTTAATTCAGCTGTTTATACCTTGTAATATGCAACCCACCGCCTGCTGATATGAGCTGAAATATAAATATAATTTTATACTTATTTTTATTACACCAGCTGCTACCTTTAGCTCAACAAACTAATTCATATACTGTATTAAATTTAGTTTTTTTAAAGATTTTTAACATACAACAGATGGTATATCTATAATAATCTTAAAATATATCAAACATCTGTACCTTTGATGTAGTCAATTTTGATGCCATCCAAACCCTTCTGGAAATGCCAGGATAAGAATGCTTGGTGGTATGGATTCATATCAGTTTTCTTGGTTGGATCCTAATAAGAATTCAGAATATGAAAAAAATTAGCAAATTGTTGATTCTTGACCACACACTGTACTTACTTACGTAAGCTGGTCTGCTGATTCTACACTAGCTGTACCTCTAATATAGAAAGGTAGATTTTAGCCTGGATTTTGGAAATTACAGCAGATTTATAAGGTCCTGCATACAAAGATACATGTCACGATCAAGAAAACAGGGAGGTGCTCAGTGACCTGCACAGTTTAAGAACGTGTTTTAACGGCTGAATAAATGAGTAGTTTGCGTTCTTCCTACAAACTGTACCATGTACCGTGATTTTCAATTGACATTTAAAGTAGATTTGACTATTAATGGATTTACACTTTATAAGATGAGAATCTGCATGGGGTGAATAATACAGATTTGGACAAATTAGTGTACCATATCCCATAGTTCATTTAGATTAGGGGTGGGCATAAAAATTGGTCGGAAGGCCAAAGTGAATTTTCAATTTAACACAGAGGGTCGCACCCAAACTTTGACATTTCCAGTGTCCTTCCAAAAACCTCCAAGAACTGTGTTACACCACTATATTCCCAGTTTTAATATTACTTTTTACAGATGATCGGTGTCGGGCCATAAAAAACAAGACATTTTCTAGCCATTGTTGCTTGGTAAGCTGCACACATAGGGTTTTTAATTCATTTTCGCGGGCCACAATAAATCGCTGTCGGGCCGCACTTTGCCCACCTGTGACTTAGATAATACGGTATACAAATTATGCATTATTAATATCCTTTATGTACTTACAATTTCTGGACATTTGGACAAGAATGCTCCAAATGTAGCCTGTGCAATGAACTGCATCAGCTCAGTGTGTGGTATGTAACCAAAACTGCATTGTGGGTGATATCCTTTACCAACCTGGATGAATGAACATGCAATAGTACTACTACGCATCTGATTCAGTAATGAGTTCATAGTAGGTACATCAGGCATTCCCATCACACCATCTGTGATAATCACCATTCCTATGAACAGAGAATAACTTTTTTAAACACATTTGAGGATACACACTAGACGGACACCTTATGCGTGTGAACATTGTGGAAAAAAGTTTAAACAAAGTGGCAATTCAGCTTACAAACCTCTATCTATCATCGTATAAATATAATTTTTTTTTTTTTTGCAAAATACTACTTACCAGCACTAGTGTTCTCTGGTAGAAGCTGAAGAGCAAGAATCCCATACCAAATCATGTTGACCAGACCGATGTCTGGTGTGACCATGTCTGGCATGTTCTGCACGGTTCTCCGAGAACTTTCATGTCCATCATTGAAAGATTGATGTGCAGAAGGGTCTATGTTTGATGCTTCATTTGGATGCCATGTCTCACAAAAAATACCTACAGTAAAAGTTAGTTCAGTTAAATTGTTGGTAAGCTACATTTTCTACACCAAACACGAAGATTCTTAGGCTCTGCTCTTTGATTTTCAATGTAATAACATGTGGTTTGACATGTGCATTTTATTTTGCATAGTGTTGACCACTAGATGCAAACATTTTAGTTGTATGACACATGGTGTTAAAGCATGGCCCATGGACACAAGTGAAATACACAGCAAGTTTCAAACGACTGACCTTATGCTCAAGAATCTGAACTGTAACAGCAGAATTGACAAGCAGTTTGGCAGTTAAAATGGTTAATGGTGATGAAACTTTATAGCATATTACCATTTATTTAGTGAGTCAATCACGATTTATGAAAATTAGCTATATTCGAACTAAAAAAAAACTAAATTTTCAAAACCTGAAACTATTTTGTCTTCATATTCTTCCAATTTAATTTGAATATCTTCCAAAAAAGGGTCCAAGTTTTCCTCTGTCAGCAAACAACCTTGTACTAGAACCTGAAATTAGAAGACATTGTAAAAATCTATACTAAATAATAAAACAATCATTTTATTAACCCAGAGGCAACAAATCTAGTGTTGGTTGGTTGGTGTGGTAGTGCATTTTCATAACACAAACCTCACCAGCATTTGAAATTCGACCTGGACATACTACTGGACACATATTTGCCGCACACGGTGGCGCTCTGGGGATATTGCATTTAGATAAATGTTAGACTAATGTATAATGAAATGTTCCGAAAGTTTTTACTCACCTGTTGTGTACATAATGCGCATAAAGGTGTGTATGCTATTACTGTGATATAGATCTGAGGTTTCAACAAAAGTCTGCTACCTGGAACAGTGAACTAGACAATTAAAGAAAACAATACAATTAAATTAAAAGAAAGAAATATGAATTGGATATTAGTATGTCCATTATTCACATCATTACTTGAACCACAAAAATACAATTCATGGAGTGATTTATCATTTTCAGTTGCTGTTCAAAAACTAACTACCCTTCAATCTGTAAAAACAATCAATGCCTTCAAAACAGCATAGGAAAACTCAACCAATTTCAGCTTTCAGTGATTTTTTTTTTTTAAATTTGTATATGCTTCTCCAATACATCACCATGTGACCTCCATGAGGCCTTCAACTTGATGGTCAACCGAAAGAGCCGCTTTGCTATCAGGACAGCTTCTTTTTTTTATCTTTGAAATAAAGATAGGCACTATATAAAAGTCAATGTTGTCGTTGCTTCTGTCATAGTCACTTAATAATACTTACACTAAAATGTGACGGTCGAAAATGTTAATGTGGTCTTTTTTTTTTATTCAATAGTCTATGACTTTTAACCATTTTGAAATCTTCTTTAACACAAATTTACAAATTAAAATTTAACCAACAAATATTTTCAATAAACATGGCTCCATCATGTACATTGATTGTCAGAATAGCTCCTTTATAAACAATAATAATAATAATGGCTGACTTATAGAGACCTCTATGCGCTTAACATAAACATGAAAACCAAAACGGACCAAGAAAGTAATACTAAAATCAAACCCGAAGACTTTCTAATCCTACTCCTTTAGCTAAGCATGATTCACTGGTTCAATATAACCTAGATACGATTCACCTGCTATTACCGGTAAATTTTAAACTTTATTGTGTTCAAGAATGACAGTTAGTTGAGCTTACCGGTTGTATGAGTCCTTTTAAACAGTTAGTGAAACAACGAAAAATATCAATCAAACTCACTCGACCTGATAATATATCCTGAAAAATAGAGATGCAGTGCTAATAACGTCATGTATTTTATAGGGAAGAAAAGGGAAAAGAGAAAAATGAAAAGAATTTAATTGCATTGGAAAGAAAAGAATAATAATAATAATAATAATAATACATAATAATAATATTACATAATAATAATAGCAATATTATTATTATTACATAATAAATAATAATAATAATAATAATAATAATAACAGTAATTACATATTAATATTTCTATAGAAATTGCTAATATTGTAGTTCTAAGTTTATATTGTAATGACTGAATATTAGGTTTAATATTCACCTCAATCTGTATTATTTATATGATCACTATTTCACGACATCATTTAATTATACAATATATTTGCAGATGTTTATTTGACTTGCTAGATTAATCATTTTTAATATTTTAATCACGAAAAGTGAAGAAAAAATCTTCAGCATGAATAGAAAATTGTGTGAGAATATAGCGGGACTCTCGGAAAAAATTGTATATGCACTGCAGCGCTTATTCGAGCATTTAGAGTACCTGCATTTATACGTTTCATAAAACTGGAGGCGTTTCTGATTTTGGGAAAAAAAATTAACCACTGTTTGTTTATGACAATTTGTTTCTTGCTTTAATTAATATGTAATAAATAATAAACAACAGGGTAATACAATACAGAGGTCGTCTTGGAAATTTGATTAAAGAGGAAAATCATTATTATTTGTCTCTTTCTATGTGTATATGTTTTTCTCCAACCTGTTAGTGGAGGTTCTTATCTATCTCTGTTGGTTGAGAATTAAATAAATAAAAAAAATAAATAAAAAATAAAATACACTTGGTCATGGAGTATGCACAGGTAAGTTTGAAAATTATTATAGGCAATATTATATTCAATAAAATAATCCATAACATTTCCTTACAACAGTTGCCATTGATGGGCTGATGTCTAAAACAGTTACAATCCTGTACCGCCTTGCAAGAAAATGTACATGACTTGTAGGTAACAACTTGTAAGTCTTGTCCTCTGTCTCAACATTCTGACCTTTTGACTCCTTACCATCATTCTCATTAACATTGGCCCTCTTTGGAATTATTGATAAAACTTCCAATTCTTCTGCTGAATTTAACTACATTGAAAAAAAAAAGTAAAAAGAATTTAATCTAAGAATTTAAGAGACAATTATCTTATTATAATGGAACCATGTTACCAATTACATCCTATGAAAATAGTTGGAATAGATTTCCTTAATTAATAAAAATATGCAGTTCAACAAAAATCAATTTAAACCAGAAATATCTGCACAGTCACAATATTGCACTAAGTTAAAGATGTACTGTCCCAAAATAACAAAATAAAATATTTTGAAATTAACTAGCTTATTTTGAAGTAACATAAGAATTATTTAACATGAACATAGAAATTAGTGTATTCTTTAAAAATGTCCCCTTTATAGGGATGTCTTCTTAATAGGTATTAATAATAGGAGTTTCCTAATGGAGGGGTTCTACTATATTATCATATCTGCATATTAAAATCCCAAGTGAAATTCAAGTTGGCAGAGTACATAATATTAATATTTCTTTAAGAAATTATTTCTCTGTCAATTATGGTGAAAATATAATGATAATTCCTGATCCTCACCAGTTCATCCTCTGATTTAACTTTGATCTGTTTATTGAGATTTCCAAAGAACCACTTGGCCCGAATGTTGCGAGAAATGCGATATTCTTTTTTCATTAACAGGTACACTTCTTTAGCATCCATCTTGGTCTGTAAGAGATTCAGTATCGACTAACAACATGACAAATAAATTATAGTTCTATTATTGATAAATGTGGATATTTTATGCATTGATATTAAGTACAGACAAACCCATCTAAACCATATCAATGTTATTTTAATTTGGTGTTTAATATAATTTACAGTTTATGTATCAAATCATTCCTAATTTCTCTCTAAATATGCATGTTACGGACAATTCACAAATAAGACGAACATCATTTGAAAATGAAAAATTTGTATGTGTTGCGCGTACAGCACAGACCCCTGCTGGATCATAATTATCTATTTTAAGCGTTGTCTTACGTGAGAATACAGTATGTGTGATGAGTTTTGAATTATCAATCCCAAAAACTTCACACCACACATTAATCTCGTATTAACAGTCCTATACCTAAATTATATTATTCCTCATCATAATATCTTAAGTAAATGTTCAGCATTTACGTTTATTAAATATTTGTGATCTTCAAGGTGGGCTAGACCTACATGTAGGCTAGCTGGGTTTGATTGGCCGAGTCATCAGGGCCGTCGGAACTGCACTGGCTTTGGCCGGACCACTTTTTCTCAATACTATTACAGGGTTTTAGTGGTCTTTAGCAGCTTTGGTCTCTACTTTGAATCCTTATAATTAAAGACCTGCTTTTAAAGTAGTCTCTAAATATTTCTATTTAGAGGTAAATTATTAGAAATGATATAGTTAATGTAAGATTGTTAGAATGGATGTAGGGCCTTCAGTTACTGTAAGATTGTTAATGTTAAACTACTGTATTTGCCAGTAGTCCTGTGCTCGTTCTACCTAACCATTACAATATTACTAACATCACTGTCCATTCAACATAGAGCTCTGATACACAAAACATCATCTTGAGTATACCACCATCATCATCATATATTTTTTTTAAATGCATTAAAATCATTATAGGCCTATATTTTAATTTATTTATTGAATGAAGGAAACATTTTTTAGTTGGGTCTGCCAAAACCATGATATTATGCATTACGGTTGAATTTTTCTTCCAAGTGTTTTAGAATGGATTACTGCAAGCCACACAAGAAGTAGTCTTGCGCTCCATTTAATTCGAAAAAATACAATTTCAATGTCCTACTAAAACTAATGGCATTCAATACACTGTACACAGAACGTCGGCTATTGATGTACATTTTGATGTCTGTAGTGCGTAAAAAGACTAAAAACAATACATTTCAAAGTAGTAGAAATTTTCAGTTTGGTCTTCCAAAACTAAGGTGGTCTTTCGGTATCTAATAGAATCCCTATAATTAAGAATTAAAAGGCACTCAACAGGGGTTGATTTACAGTATAAAACTTGATAAAGCATGCAAATATCATCATGAATTTGCGGGAGATGGTTTATTTGGGGTGATTCGTGCTTGCTTGCGGGCCAGAATGTGGTAGTCCTTCCTGCCAGTTTCCAGGAGACTCCATTCTAAGACTCTACTGGAGACTTGGAACTCATGAGTACTAGATGTGGTCTGTAGATTTCTCTATTTAGATGGAAATTAAAAAATAATACATCAAATGTTTTAAAATGGTTGTACAGTAACTGCATGTTCTTTATTTATTCTTGATTAAAAATTTCTAGGTAGCCAGACATCAACTTGTCTTTCCATTAAAATATTACTAATATTGCCACTAACATTATCGTCATTCAATATACAAAACGCTACACACAAAACAGTGCATTGGCTAATATATACCTTAAGTCATATTTAAATTAAATATTTAAGATTGATTTTGAAAATGTTTAAAGGTATAATATAACATAACAAAAACTATTATAAAATTTTGGCAAAGGTATAATTGCCAAGCCGGCTACTTCCTATTAAATTTTAAACCCTTAAATTAAAAGTGAAAACATTAATTTTTTTGAAATTATGCATGTGCTATTTCCCGGCTGATGAGCCATTTTTTTAAACATGGTGAAAAAAAAATGTGTTGCACCCCTCCAACCACCCATGCCCACTCTTATTTAAATGGCCGGACCACTTGCAAAATGCTTCCGACGGCTATGGTCCCTGCTGACTTTTATTTACTATAATTTAGTCTAGCCTAAGGCTCTAAAAATAGATTGAAACATATAAGACAAAATGTGTTCCATATATAGCAGCCAAAGAAAAAGTGGTTCGCAGCCTAGGCTTTAAGTGCCCTCCTACTAACTATTACTACTACTACACTAGGCTACAGTACTGGCTTCAAACTGACTCAGACCATACTGACTCTGACCATACCAACTCGGCCATTCACCAACTTGGCCCACGAACCAACTCGGCCCTTGTCAACTTGGCCCTTAACTATGCCTATGTACACCAGCGCGGCCCTTGCCAACTCGGCTCTTAACCAGCTCGGCCCTCAACCAGCTCGGCCCTTAACCAGCTCGGCCCTTAACCAGCTCGGCCCATAATAGACTCAGCCAATACACCGACTAAGTTCTTGCCAACTTGGCCCTAAACCGACTTGGTCCATACACCAACTCAGCCCTTAACCAATGTTTATATTTAAAAACTGCATATAACAGACTTCTCAAGTTGATACAGAAATTTTGCCTAATTACGGATGTACGGGCATAGACAAAAACACGGAAATTTATCATATATAAATAAATAGGTCTAAAGTCTAGAACAAATGCCATTTTTCCAAGGATCTTTGGTTACATTGTCTCTAGAAAACTCATACTCATCAGATTACTGATAATTTATTGTGAAGAAAGTGTCTCCCGTAAATCTTCAACCTGTACTGTTAGTTTGAAATTCCACAGCTGTTAATCTGTACATGTAATTTAAGCAGCATATATTTTGCACTCAAGACAAATTATTAGGTAGTACGGAAACTTTGTATTTACCGTACTACGGATATTTGAAAACTCTGTTAATATTGAAATGTATTTTACTAACTTCAGAAGTCTGATATACAGTAATTGTGTTTTTTAAAGCGACAAAATGATATACGGTATGTAAGATTATTAAATATATCACATAACAAATATACCAAAAGCAAAAATTTCTTTAAAATATTAAACCAAAAAAAAAAAAAACAATTTAACAAAGACAAAAAATACATGCCTTCATACTGCTTTTCTTTATTTTTTGAGTAATTTATGTAAAATAAAACATTAATACATAAATATTACAATATATCAAAGCAATAAATTATTAATGATTGAAAATTTAAAATAATTAAAAAAACAACTAGGGGCCTACAGTATGCAGCAGTATGGGCCGAGTTGGTGCTTGGGTCGCGATTGATAAGGGGCCGAGTTGGAAGGGTCGAGTTGAATACGTTTTCCAGAAGACAAGGGTGGTCTTGTTTTGGAATGCACTTCCTAGTGAAGTAGTATTTATGTTTATCTATTAATACTTTTAAATCAAGCTCAATGAGGCATGGTCCAACTATCTACTGAAGTTTGCACCATACACAGTGACTTTTTTTACATTGATCCCGCAACACGCACCAAATATGTGAGAGGACCCAACCTCTTAATTACACATCCTTTTACATACTTACTTAACCCACCTTTATTGTTTTTAACTCCAACATGTTGACCTACGTCAAATTCTCTCAAGTGCTCTACCTTACTGGCAGTGACCACTTGTTTCTTATGGCTCAAAGCCTAGGGTTAATAACGTAAACCTAATACTCTGGGAGCATGCCTAAACAACATATTATAGGTGATTGCCCGTCACAGTTTGCAGTGTGGCTCTATATGACAACAGAAATTTAACAATTCTAACATTCAAAGGGACCTTCTGTCCTTCCCCTGTAAACTTTCAATCAAGTACTTCTTTAGTGCTTTCTTACAAATTTGAACGCTCCTCTCAGCAGCACCATTAGATGTTGGATGATATGAAGCATCAAACCATCTTCAACCTGTTTTGACCACCCGTTCTTTACATATTGTAGAACTGTACATAACGTACTATCCACTATGTCATCTGAGGAAATGGGTAATTCGTCTGTTACCGAGAATTAATTTACAGCTAATTCAGTAGCAAGATATTCTGGATCATTCAAAGGCAACCTGGACAGCATGTCCGCATTGGCATTTTCGTTTGATTTTCAAAATTATATATTGTAAGTATGGGCCATAAAGAAATAGTGCCCATCATTTTAGTCAGGCTGCCGCTATGGATAGAATACCCTTCTTTGGTCCAAAAATTTTTCACCAAAGCCTGATTATCTGTAATCAGTTCAAACTTGGGCCCCCACAAATACTTGTTAAATTTAGTTATGCCAAGAATGATCGCTAGGGCTTCTCGCTCTATCTGAGAATAATTTCCCTCCGCATTTGTAAGTGTGCAAAAGACGAATGCCACTGGGTGTTCTCTACTATCCTTAATCACTGCACCCAATCCCACTGGGGAAGCGTCGCAAGCTAAGGTCAGCCGCGCTTTGGGGTTGTAATGGATTAACACATTATCACTAGTGAGGTCATTATTAAGTACCTTACATGCCTCCTTACAGGGTTCATTCCAGTTCCATTTAACACCATCTATCAAGAGATTATACAATGGCACACACTTGTTGGCCATATGGCTAATGAACCTACAATAATATGTGATTAACCCAAGAAATGATCTCAACTCATTTACATTCTTTGGTTCTGGGGCATTTCTAATAGCCTTTACTTTATCTTCGGTGGCATTAATCCTTTAGCAAATAACATGACCCAGATAAAACAAAGATAACTTACACACACACTTGTCACAATTAGCCTTAATGTTATGCTGGGCCAGTCTACCCAACACTTCATCTAACATTTACATGTGGCTACCAACACCGGGACTGCTGATAAGGATGTCATCTAAGTAGCAACATACACCATCTAACTCGTTTAACACTTGGTCCGTCACATTCTGAAAAGCCCTGGGGCTGTTGATACCCCAAAAGGTAATCTTTGGTATTTCCACAAACCCTTTTCAGTATTAACTGTTAGAGTGTTTTGGAACAGTCAATTCCAACTGTAGATACGCTAACTTTAAGTCTGTCTTACTAAATATTCTCTCCCCCACCCCCACCCATGATAATCGTGAGAAAATATATTCTGCAGTAGGTAATGGGTATGTGTCTTGTTCAACTACCTTATTTACAGTTTGTTTATAATCACCACAAAGTCGAACTAATTTGTCAGCTTTATTCACAACAACTACGGTTGATGCACATGGACTGTAATACCTTAATAATAATCTTTCTAACCGTTGTAATTTATCATGAACCTTATCAACCTGAGCATAAGGAATACGGCGTGCTTTAATAAAGACAGGTTCTACACCCTCTTTAACTCTGATATCAGCTTAGAAACCCTTAATTTTATCTTTCGGTGATGGTGGAGTAAACACAGGCTTAAATTTATCAATAACATGGATATCAGAAATAGATCTAGGCTCGGGTACACCTACAGCAAATATTTGTGTCTAGTTAATTTTGATTTTATGCAACCAGTGATTAAACGGGCCCACGGTTGAACTCAGATCGTATTTTGCTTGTTTTTTGCTTGTCGTGTTGGAATTGATTAATTGCTAGCCTAGGCCTAGCCGCCCTACATGACGTAGGTGGCCTAACACACCGACATTCATTGTACAGTACAGGTAGGACAGGCTGAATACAGTAGGTTGTGCTGAATAGGCAATGCCAATGGAAAACAATAGAAATGCCAATGTAAAGAATGAAACAGGGCACAAGTTAACCCTTTGAAGTCGCGGTCCGTATAATACATGGACCAACTTACTGTCGCAGGAAGCCCGCTCCGTATTATATACGGACTGATTTTAGTGCTGCTGCCCTCTATTTAATGAGTACTTTAGGGGATTTCCCTATTGTTGCTGCAACTGGACGTGCAGAAGCATTCAAAATGGCCAAAACAGCAATCATTCAACGTCATGTACTTACCCTTAATTTAGCGGATGATGACAGTGGGGCTTAATGGGCCTCAGTGACCTTGGCAAAAGTCACTTGGGACTTCAAAGGGTTAAGGCTAGCAGTACAGTACCTTCTAGGCATATTAACAGTAGTTGTAGTAAGCCTTACAGATTGACAGTGAGAAAACCTTGTATAATTCAGTGTATTTATTTTAGACAGGGAACCATCCAGAGTACATACAAATAAAAGTTATGAAAAAAAGAAACCTTAGGAAAATAAAATGAAAAGATTCGTAAGCAATGTAATACCTAAATTATTTTTGTTAGTAACCAATTTATTGTTTTATAACTATACAGTGATCCTAAATTCCTGCACGGAATACTCTACACAAATTTAAACTATACAGTAACACCCTGAACAGCAGACGAAAATTGAACTTTGAAATCACGTTTTCTTGAACTAAGATATTATTTAGATTTTTATTTGTTTATGTTTAATACTAGTGGTACTGTACTAGAGTTTCCATTATGTCGGATATTGGTCCTCAATAAATCTGTTTTTGTTACCTTGATCTGTTTCCAATTTTCGTTACTTTTTTTGCTATCGTCTATTCATTTCATTCTTCAGCAGAGTACTGTACATTAAAGGTGTACACCATCTGCTCCCATCCCGACTGAGCGCTGATTCCTCGACCCCAACAAGCTATAATATAATCCTGCTCAGAAAAAATGCCCACGACAATGACTTGCGACATGTTTAGGCACCACGCGATGCGTGACATCATGCACTTCAATTAGTGTCATTAACCCAGTTCAGCCAAGCGTGTTTTTGTCAACAAAGGCCTTAAGAAAATATTCATATAAAATGCTTTTTGATTGGTTGAGACGTTTCATCAGGTCAATCAGGTCACTCAGGGGTCGAAGTAGTACACCATTTTGATTTTTTCCAAAATCGGTCAACTTTATCAATTTCATTAAAATTTGTTGTTTTTTCCAGAGAATTGCGAGTAATAAAGTTCAATTTTTTAATAACAAAGATTAGTTTAGGTATATATATCTGAAAGTTTATTTGCCAAATATGAATATAATATGAGGCGTACAAATATTTTTTTTTGGCACCGCAAAACCGACGATCAGCTGTTGATCGGCCATCGTGTACACGAGGTAAACCATAACGATCTTAACGAAAGTGCTGCATATACCGTAAACGGCAATATTTTTCATGTAAATAAAATAAATATGAGTTCAAAAAGTAAACTAAATGATACTTAAAGTATTAAAATATACTTTTAGCTAATGATTATCTAAAAAAATAGTTAAATATTAAGGATTGAAGAGGATATTAAAGATAGGATGATTTCGAGAGAATTGTGAGACGATGTCAGTTTTTGTTGCAAGAGAATGACGTCATGCGTAACGGCCAATAAAATTCGTCATTTGAAGTCTGGCGGGGGGAGAGATTATCAGGTCCTGGTAATATTTTTATTTTTCATTTGTGTAACTTAATTTTACATAAATTAATTATTATTCCCAGCCCCGAAACCTAGACTCAGAAATACCGGGATGGTTTCCAGGGGGGGCAATTCCCGTCACAAATCGCGCCAACATTTTGTCAGACACTGCAATTACTCTGAGAATGCAAGCACAATAAGACTTTTTTTTATTTATTTATTTTTTTAATTAATTTTTTTTTTCCCCCGAATTTCAGAATTGTGGGTCAAAGGTCATCTGAAAAATTTATAAATTTTCTGGTTGTTGTGTATTAAGGCTACATGACCAATGCAACTTGCAGTAAAAATTTACAATCAAAATGTACACTATTTTTTAGCATTTACAAAAATTAACAGAAATATATGGCCAAAAGTGATAGAAATATTATTGTTAACATGCAACTTGCTATTTACGTGCTCATAAACTTTGAATGTTTATAAAACCGTAACCAGTGGCTCAATTTTCCTAACTAAAATAAATTTTTTTATGATACTGAGAATAAGCAGTTTTTTTGTGCTATTTTTTGTTCTTTTTTATATTCAAATTTGTATTTATCATGTGGTACCTAACATGTTTATATTTGCCTACTCTCTCTAACCCCTAATTTGGATATTTTATAAATGACATTCTAACCATTTCTCCATAGGGGGCCTACACCTGTTTATACAAATTGTTTCAAATGTTATGACGATTAATACAGCCATTTCCACCAAAGGAAAAAATGTAGTGCTACATACAATTACCTAGACCTAGGCCTACACCTGTGTACTCTGTCTAAGCCTAGCCCTAGCTAGGGTCTAGGCCTACCCTTCCCTAGGCCTAGCCTCCATATTCTGGCCTACTAGGCCTAGGCTAGGGCCTAGGTCTAAGCCCTAAGCTAGGCCTAGGTCCTAGGAGGCCCTAGGCCTAGGGGCCTATATTATTATTATTATTTTTATCAGGCCCTATTATTATTATTATTATTATTTTATCTAGTCCTAGGTCAAGCTTATGTCTAAAATTAATTATACAAAGATATATACATATACTTACATACCTTTTAGAATCTAATTCTGATCGTCCATAATTTCAAAAATATAATTACTTATGCCTAAGCTAGGGAAATCCAAGCTAGGCCTAGCCCTCAAAGCTATTACTCAAGTCCTCCTCTCGAACCTGCCCTGACCACGAACACAACACAACACCACACAACCACACACTTTTTTCTGAACATGGTATGGTACGCAGTTGATGTCTTCAGCGTGAGCATACCACTAATGCTGCGTTCATTAGAGCTTGTAAAATACAAGTTGTAAACTCGAGTAGAATTTTCTTCCTCGATTTGTACATGTAGTGTGGAAAATGGTGGATGTTACACAAACGAGCAGATTTATTTATTGCAATTTGTTTAAGTAATATTATTTCAGATAAAAAAAGTGGGTTTTTTTGTAGGTTTTATTTGCAACCTATATGATTTGCACTGTATTATGTATAACGTTCTGAATGCACTTTATGGAGTCCTAATTCAAGCTTTTTACATCCCGAGTAGGAAAAAAAATGCCATTTTAGCGTTCGACAAATAAATGTACTCTTCTCGTGTTCTCGCATGTTAGGCCTACAAGTTGTGAGATCAGTTTTCACAAGTTCTAATGAACGCAGCATAACACCCCGGGATGGGGCTACTGTATAGGCCTACATAGATATTGTTGCATGGTCCCGAGAAACAATAGCGTAGGACACAGGCGCACATATTCCTGCCATTCTCTGATTGGTCAGTTGTTAAGTTTGAATGAAACACTCCAACAATTTCTGCTTTGAAGGTGTGTGGGTGTGTGTGTGTGTGTGTTTTTTTTTTTTTTTTTTTTTTTTTGTGTGTTCAAAATATGTCAAAAACGTCTGCACAGATCTATAGTGAAAGTTACAAGGATGAAGCATTATATTTTGGTGACGACCCAGAGTAGGGTGTGGATATGAGGACCATTTAAAGGAAAACGTCGTAGACCAAATATTTCAAAAACAAATCAACTGATCAGAAGGTGAAAGTTTAACCAAGTTACAAGGATGACAAGTGTTGGAGACAATCCGAATTCGGGTGTGAATTTGACGATTATTTAAAGTGCTAAGGTCCCAGACCTCACCCATATCTCTTTAAAAAAAATCAATGTATTTAATGACACTTTCCAGAATAGTTTGTATGAATTTGTTGATATGTACTAACTTTATATTGGGGGGGGGGGACTGATTAAGAATATTTTTAATGTATCTATATCCAAACATGTGACGCTAAAAACCAATACCCTGTATTTCATATTAATTTGACTATTTGCATAATATTTCCATCTTAAGACCAATACTTGGTTGTATTTTTGCCAACTATAAAAGTAAAATGTTCAAGTGTATTTAACCTACGATGGCCCACAAAGGACACACTGCAAAGAAAAAGAAATGCTGCAAACAAAAAAGAAACGCTGCAAACAAAAAAGAAATCATGGAAACAGAAAAGAAACGCTGCAAACAAAAAAAGAAATGATGCAAACAAAAAAGAAATGATGCAAACAAAAATAGAAATGATGCAAACAAAAATGGAAAC